CTCATGGTAGGTATTGATTAGGGGGGACAGAGGTATTAAGGCTTTTTTTTTAACTAAATATATATAACACCTTCGTTAATGGTACAGTGTCATTTACCAAGTACCACAAAACAGGCTTTAGTTAAGCTTCAGTATTTTATTATGCAGCTGAAATACGGCAGAAATCTTTTGCAACGTTTTTATATAACATTGATTCACAATGTTTAAACTCCAAGACTGACCGAAGTGTTGTCTAGTTTTATCTTCAATTTGTGGGTTGGTAATTGTTCCAGATAGAGAGTATTGTGTCTTGTTATGTTTTCAACATGGATAATTACAATGGTATTAGCCATAATGTTTCTCCATCACATTAATCTATATGTTACCTCGACTACTGGAATCACAATATCCAGCGACTCCTCGTACATGGATCACCATTGTTGAGATGTGTTCTGAAACACTGAAATAATCACTGGTAACTATTAGGATAACCAATGTTATCGCTGGTAACTATAATGATAAGTGATATTATCACTGGTAACTTAGAATAACCACTCTTAGCACTGGTAACTGTTAACATAAGTAATGTTATCACCAATAATTATTGGAATAAATAATAACAAACATTCCAGCTACCAGCTCAAAGTGTCCTGACAACCAAGTTGTAATGCCTATGTACGATTTCTGGCCCCAACAGCAATAGCCTGATCAATCAGGCCGTCCGAAGGTTTACACAAACATCACAACCTGGCTGATCTGGCACTTGTTGCAAGTAATGGTTTAGTTTCCAGTTTAAATATTCACCATTATTATAAACCGTACATTATACAAACAATTATGTAATGCAACAATGAACTGCTGTGGTAAACTTATCGCACCCCTGGCACTGAATATAAACTTGCTTGTAACTACCAGTTTACTGGAGTAATCAAGAAGAAACAACATGTGCATCCAGAGGTGACCAGAGGCTTGGAAGGGAAGTCTTCACTGGTGTTTGTAAACATTTGCTGCACTTGTTAAAAGTTATAGTAAGCTGCCTGCCTCTTACTGTGTAATAAGACGATATAAGTAGTAGACGAGGAGAAAAAGCAAATGACTTTAATGACTCTTTAAGTAAACACTGGTCTGCTCGCACAAGACCCGCACAGCACGCGTGCTTTTAAGCACGTACAGAGGGCGATCACAAACAGCCTGGCTGGACAACCATATGGCAGTAATCGAGCCTCTATCATTCCACACGAGTTTACGGTGTCATGAAATACAGTCTACATATGGGCACGTACACGTACGTCGAGCCACCAAGTGTGTAATTTACCGCAGCAAACAGCTTAGCAAGAGAGTGCCTGCAAAGATTTTACCTTCATGATGAAGGGCGCTTGGTCCAGAGAATTAGAGCTAGCATCAGATCTGATTATCTCCCTTTCACCATGCGTTGTATGACCCCCTACAGGTTTAGTGCCTCCCTATAACCATAATACAAAAAAAAAAAACTTCCATTGTTGCACCGTACAAAACGAACATGGTTTTTTTGATGAACTTGATCCACGAGGTTGTATGACGAGTATTTAAACCTCTGCCCTTTCTCTCTTCTCTGGTTGTGTAATTTAGTTAATAGTAGAGAAACATAGGTAAATTAACGTTAAAGCAACGCGACTTAACTTAAAATATGTTAAAAATCAATAAGCTGAATGATTTGTCGTGGTGTGGCTCGTTCAGGAATAGGTGAATTGAGAGGCATTATAAATCTGTGTTATAAGGGTGAGGAGGAGGAGGAGCAGTAGCCAGAGGTAGCGTTGATGAAGGTGTTATAAAGGCGAGTTGGTGGAGGAGCGGTATACCGAGGTAGGGTTGATGAAGGTGTTATAAGAGTGAGTTGGTGGGAGGAGGAGCAGCAGTAACCCGAGGTAAGGTTGATGAAGCGCCACAGTTTGGTCAGCACGCTAACTATCCCCGATAAGCTCTTTTGTCGCATGTCCCGTCCCACCTGATGTGCATCCTGGATTTAATTAGTTTACCGGTCGGGATCAGCGGCCCCTCATTAGCGCGTAATTATTCCCAGTCAGCTGTAGGTTCCTCACTCCCTCCCTCCCGCAGTTGTTGGTGGTGCTCCCTCCCTCTGACGCCGCAGTTGTTGGTGGTGCTCCCTCTGACGCCGCAGTTGTTGGTGGTGCTCCCTCTGACACCGCAGTTGTTGGTGGTGCTCTCTCATTCCGCAGTTGTTTGCGGTGCTTCCTTTCACACCACAGTTGTGTGCGGTGCTTCCTCTCACAGCGCAGTTGTTAGTACTATACCCCTCAAGGAAGGTTCCTTGATGTTGGTGAGGGGCTCTTGATTTAGGGAATTGGATCTGTGCTCCAGTTCCCCGAATTAAGCCTGAATGCCTTCCACATCCCCCCCCAGGCGCTGTATAATCCTCCGGGTTTAGCGCTTCCCCTTGATTATAATAATAATAATGTTAGTACTATAGCTCTAGTGCTGCAGAGCAAGAGCAAAACATGACATGATCACCACATACACATTAATTAGGGACATTAACTGGGTAGACAGATATAGACTCTTACTAGTAAGGATGTAAAACGAACACGAGGGTACAGTGGAAAATTACACTCCCAGACTAGTTAAGGGTATATTAGAAAAATTCTTTAGCATACGAGAGATTAAGAAGTGGAATGTAAGAACATAACGTAAGGAAGAGCACTGCAGCAGGCCTACTGGCCCATACTGGGCAAGTGCTTCTCAAACCCAGATCCACTAACAGATATATATGCCTAACCCATTTTCAATGCTACTCAAGGAATAACCTTTAATAACTTTATTAACTCGTGGGCAAGTCCCGCTCAAATCCACTGTGGAAACAATCTATGCAGGTGTTCAAAGATCATTTTCCTGTGATATACCTGTGACTTGTTTCAAGAGTTTTTCTTTCCTCGAAGCACTACCTGAGACCAGGCTGTGAGAGCTATGACGCCAGCCCTCCGACGGCATCAACAGCCTGTTTGATTTGGCACTTTGCAGAGATAGTTATCCAGTTTTGTCTTGAAGACTTCTACATTTGTTCTGCCAATATTTCTGATATCCGCTGGTAGCAGGTTGAATAGTCTTGGAGTACGGATGTTGACACAGTGTTCCCTTATTATACGATCTTGCTTTTCATTGAGTTTGTTTTAAACTTCCTTCCATATTTCTCACTCCAGAATGTTGTTATGGTAATATTACTGTGTAGTATCAGCATATTATATTATATAAATAATTTATTGTAAAATTATCCTTGTCTACAGAGGAAACGTTTTTCAGTATTTTTGTTTTTTTTGCACTTATGATGACAAAACGACATGGAATGTACACTGTATTGCAATGTGGTTAGTGCTTAAGGGGTCGATGTTTAGTAAAAACATTATTGGTTTGATCGACAAGCTTGTGGCCGCCAAATTCTTCAAAATCAAAATATAAAACGATCATGTATTTACTGACATTTTTATTTTATGGCTCATGCATTCTTTAGCGTCGTAGGAGTCAGATTTTATCGGATTTGATCCCATACGCTAGCTATATTTTGTTCAGACACAGACACGTGGAGGCGGATGCTCCTCACAGCACCTGCACAAGTTCTGTAATCACTTTGGAGTGGAAGTTGAAGACAGATTTATTCTCCACGTTCAAACACTATTAACTGTCCCGTTGATGATATAAAAAGGGATACTTCACGCCAGTCAGTCGATAGCTAGGATGCAGACCAGGAGCTAGGACACACTGAAAACTCAAATAGCTAATTAGAAATTAGATAAATATACATTTATGTCATCCTTATTTAAAATATTTAGAATTCCTAAATTCTTTCGCGTCCCTTTTAATTATTTTTATATGTGTACTTATTTGTTTCGTGGATGTTTTATTCGTCTCTACTGATCCAGTCACTAAAGAAATGTACGCTGAGTAGGCTGGGAGTAAATGACATTGTTTTAACGTTTTATAGGTAAATTGTTTTAGAATTATTAGAAAATTTCAACTGGTTTAGCTAAGTAACTCCATTTAAATCTTCTACTCAAAGAGCTTATGGCTCACTATAAAAAGCCAAGAAAACATTAATAAATGAATGATTGTCGAAAAGAGTCAGTGACGTGTCTGACCTCACTAGGTCAAGGCATTGGCTTGAAATTGGGAGAAATGGAGCTGCCTCGCATAGGCCAGTAGGCCTGTTGCAATGGACAGCCAGTCAAATTCATATATGAAAATCACATTCCCTGGAAGTTTAAACTGGTCAACTTTTGTAAGGCATTTGATGTTATTTTGTAAGAAAAAAGAAGTACAAGGCTTCACACATTACCTTACGGTGCTCCGTGGCCTGGTGGCAAAAGCTCTCGCTTCACACGGTAAGTGTCCGGGTTCGATTCCCGGCGAAGGGGTGGAAACATCAGACGTGTTTCTTTACACAGGTTCTCTGTTCACCCATCAGTAAAATGGGTACCTGGGTATTAGTCGACTGGTGTGGGTCGCATCCTGGGACAAAACTGACCTAATTTGCTTGAAATGCTTTCTACACAGTAGTATGTCATTGATGTCAGCTAGGTCTGTATACCTTGTACTTGTAGCAAATGAAGATATTATTATTATTATTATTATTATTATTATTATTATTATTATTATTATTACAGCACCTGCTGACCTCCAGATCCTAAAGTATTTATTATTCATGGATCTCCGCCCCATTTATACAATATATTTTCATGAGGATCCAGTAGAGTTTGTTTGCAAGCAATGATAGCGTCTCGTAAGTGCATGTCATCCAAAGATATTTTGCTACAGATAGTAAACACGTGATCTGCAAAACATTCAGGTATTTCCGTCTGTCTTGCTTTTGTTCGCTTAACAGTAAGCAGGTACCTGGGTGCTAGGCCAGACTTCATTGTTGACCGTCTGGTCAACCAGGCTGTTGTTGCCAGCAGAAAATGAGAATTTTTTATTTGCTCCTGTTATTTGCATTGTAATTAAATCTAGTCTCACGGTGAAATATTTTTTTACAGTGCAACAGCGAATCGCAGAGAGGAACTTCGAAAAATGAAAGATCAAACATATCTCTTCTAGTCGCCATCAATATTTACACGAGTCTGAGGAAATACGCCGTAAGGTTATATAATTTTCTCGCAAACGTGACCAATTTGCAGAGAAAAATAAAGAATCAGGAAGGCACTAAATGACCGTATCTTAAAACTTGATATTATTAAGGATTTAGTGTCCCCGAGCGATGGCTTGTTACTCAGTAATCTAGATGTGTAGAGATAACCTCACTGTTGTATGTGCTTTGTGTACCAGATAGTTATGATCTAGGTTATTCTCTTCTGTGTACATTCTAATTGTAAACTAGGTAATGTAAGTCAGTGGCAAGACAAGTAGAAATGTTCAATAAGTGTTTGTTTTCTACACACCAAGATGTGTATGAAGGGGGAGTGGAGTGATGATACTGTGCTCGTGACAGTCTCCTGTACTAGATTGATCGACATTACAGATTTTTTACCTTTTGTCCGTTATCATATCTGTTATTGAAGTTGTGTTTACTTGTACCGCTTAATCATCCAGCTCATTAATGCTTCTAACATCCCTATAACTCATATCTTTATAGATTTACGTATTTTTCTATTTTTTTTTAAATATTTTGCGATTTTATGTTTTGTATGTAATTTCGAAGCCTCGCTATTAGTGAAGTGTCTGTATCGTATGGTTTATACAGAGCAAAATAATACACGAGAATTAGGAAATTCAATATGTGTTGGTAAATAGTTGTAGGAAACCACTGGAGTGTCTTCTCGTTGACCACATCCCAGTGTTGTCAACAATTCTCTGACCAAGTGTGTGTAACATTCCAATTCGTCTTTTACCTAAACAAACAAGGGTGTGGTGTCCAACTATATAGTGGCAGCGATGTATCTCCCGCTGCCAGACGTTACCTTCCCTTTTATACAATCTGGATATTGGCGGTTAAACCTAAATAAATCTAGGTTAATGTTAGGTTATCCTAACATTTTAATTTAATTTTGGTTTCATTTAAGACTATGCAGAAATTAATGCACGTTACTCACTCAATTTTGCTTGCACGAGTCGATTCACAGTTCCTGGCCATTCCTCTTAATCTTATCGACGGGCTTGATTAATGTCCGTAACTCGTTAGAAAGTGAGTTTATTATTTGGAGGACAGGTTGACGATTTTGGTAGTGTGGTCAACTGTTCATCAGTAAAATAAAGTCAGGCTCCATAAAGAAGGCTAAGCTTTCTTAAGGCTCTATTTTTGTGCCAGATCTGACATTAGGGGTCCAGAAAAGATTGTGAGCGACGATTATGTCTTAAAATCTCACTCTGAGAAATGAAAGATGTTGTGGTCTCAGTGATCTTGTGTTGTGGTGGATAATTGGATCTTTTCCAGGTGATTGATGTTAATTAAGGCTATTAACGGGGGATAAAAAAAAGTCTTATCACTGAATGGGTTTAAAGAAAGAAGGATAATGACTTCATTCATGGAAATTTATTGGAGAATAAATTTGCTTCTCAAAGCTGGAAAAAAAATTATATAGATAGTTAATAGATGAAAATCCGAGTTTGTACTGCGTGTGTATCGGAAGTGTATGTGCGTCACCATCGTTGTCCTGATGCAACCCGTTCTTATATCAACAGCGATATGCTTGCAGATGTGAACATTACTTTTGTTGATGTTTAAGACATGTGCAACACTTAGGTGTCTTTATTGCCGAAATATTTCGCCTACACAATAACCTTCTTCAGTCGAATACAGGCGAATATAACAATGGAGATAATAGAAGTAGTAAATATTGAAGTGATCAGTCCTCAAGTGTTGCACATACGTATCATTCACCAGCTTGTCAGTAGTGTACTGTATACTATCAATAATAGGATAGTTGCTCCTGTTTGCCCACATATCTCTCCGTTACCACTCCTATTTTGCAACTTGCTTATTTATGATTAAAAAACTACATAGTTTTATACGCCTAACCTAACCAGTTGACACTGGTCGTGTTAATTTAAAAACTTCTTTTTAATTGTGTCACTTATGCCAGTGCTCACCTCTTTACATGTAAGGTATCACCGTGTTAATTTTTTTTTTTTTATAAAATAATATATTTTATAAAAAAGTTGTCAAAATTTTCAAAAGGGGCACCCCTTGGTTTGGGGCCCCTTTCCCAACGGGGCGCCCCCCTTTGGGTTTGGGGCCTTCTACAGGAATCCCTTCCGGCCCCTAGGACAGCAGTGGGGGTACCTTTTCAACCGGTGTTTTTTTCCCGGTTTTGCAATGCCCTGCCTCGAGACTCCCTCCCCCTTTGCCCCCCAACCAGTCCCCCGGCCCCCCGCCCCCAAATTCCGCCCCCGCCCCGCGCACCGCGCCCCGGCCCGCGCGCCCCCCCGGGGCCCGGGCCCGGCGCCCGGCCCCGCGCCCCCCCCGGCCCGCGCGCCCCCGCCCCCTTCGGACCCCCCCCCGGCCTTCGGGTGGAACTTTTTGCCCGTCCCCGGGATGCCCCCCCCCCGCCCGTTTTTTTTCCGATTTTTTTCGAATTTTTTTTAAATTTTCATTTTCTTGGGGCTCTCCATTCCTGGATCAATTTTTTTAAGGGTTCCCCCCTCTCACTTTACCCCTCCCAAAATTTTCGTATTCCCAAGTTTTGGATTCCCCCCTAGGGGGGTTTTCAAAATTTTCCATCTCCTTTTAAAAGGTTTTTTTTGGATTGTCCCCCCTTTCCCACCCCCAACCCCAAAATTTCTAATATTCCCAAGTTTTTGGATTCCCCCCGGGGGTTTTCAAAATTCCCCTTTTTTCCTTGGATCAAATTTTTGGGTACCCCCCCTTTACACCCCCACCCCAAAAAATTTTAAATTTCAAAGTCCCCAACTTCTGGGATCCCCCTCCCATTTCCCCCCCAACCCCAAAAAATTTCCCTGGGGCAATACCATAACTCTCTCTCGGTTTCAAATTTTTGAGGTTCCCCCCTCTTTTTTTCCCCCCCCCCACCCCAAAATTTTCCCCAAAATAAAATTTTTCTCCATTTCCTTTGGATAAATTTTTTTGGGTCCCCCCTCCTTTCCCCCAAATTTTTGGACAATCCTGAACCATCTCCTCTTTTTAATTTTTTTTGGACCCCCCTAGGGGGTTTTCGAAATTCTTCCATTCTTGGACCCCCCTCCCATTTCCCCCCCCAAACCCCAAAAAATTTGGATTACCCCCCCACTCCCCCCCCAAAATTTCTCGATAACCCCCAAGCCCCCACCCCGGGATAAAGTTTTTGGTTTCCCCCCTGGGGGAAGCATTCAAATGAACCCCAAGGGGGCATGCTTAAAAGGTTTTAATAAAGGGTTTTTTCTCGGGGGTTTCAGTGACGTCACACTTTAAAAAGAAAATTTCTTTTTCGACTTACCCCTATGTCATTTGACGTCCAGCACACAGGCTGAATTTTTGGGATTTGGGTTATTAAAGTTAATAAGGGGTTTAGTCCTACTTCATGGGGAAAAATTTTCATATCAGAAAATTTAAACCTTTTTTTGGTTTCGTTAATCCCCAAAAAACCCAAAACAATTTCTTTAAAACAAAGTTGGGATTTTTTTTTAAACTATTTATCTCAGGTCCCCCCCCCACGAAGTAACATTCCCCCCCCCTCCGAACCCTCACCCCCAAAACCAAACCCCTCAAAATTTTTCACTCAAAACCCCCCAATTTTTTCTTTTTTCCCCTTTTTTTAGTTTCTTTAAAAGTTAATAAGGGGTTAAAATACACAAAAAGTCACCCAAATTAAAACCCAAATTTTCGATAATTTCATAGTCAAAAATTTTACTTTCAAAGTTAAATACGCACTTTACTTTGAACCCTTAAAAACCAAATCTTTAAATTTTAAATTTACTCAAAAAATTACTCTTTATCCATTTAAAAAACAGGGAAATTCCCCAAAACATCATTCAAAACCCCCCAAAATTTCACCTCTAAATACCCCCAGAACCCTCATAAAGTACTTTGCAACTTTTAAAACCCTTTCAAAAGTATTTCTTTAATATTTGTACCCCTTCAAAAAACACCTTTAAATCTCACAAAAAACCCCTTGCCCTTCCCCCAAAACACCTTTGAAAACCTCAAAAACCCCTTTTGAAAAATTAAAACCCAAAACAACATTTGAACACATTTAAAAACCCCCTTTTGAACCCCTTTAAAACTTTTCCCAAAACAACACTAAAAACCCCCCAAAAACCCCATTTGAGTACCCCAAAATACACCATGAATACAAAAACCCCAATTGAATACACCAAAACACCCCAAAATCCCCATAAAACCCTTTTCCCAAAAAAAACAAATTTGGTACCCCCAAATTTCCCCTATTTAATTACTATAAAACACCATTTAAATTTCCCCAAATAAAAAACCCCCCTTAAAAACCCCCTTAAAACCCCCCCCTTAAAATTCAAAACACTCTTAAAATTTTTTAAAAAAAACCTTTGAACTTTTCCCAAATTTAACACTGAAACATTTCCCCAAAAAAAAACACAATTTGATTACCCCCTTTTACCCAGGGAATTACTACAAAAAAAACGTAAAATTCAATAAAAAAACCCCTTCAACCTTCAATACCCTTTGAACCCTTTGGAACCCTTCCCAAAAAAAAAACATTTGAAAAACACTCAAAAAACCTTTAAAACCCCTTTGAACATTTCCCCAAAAAACCCTGAAACATTCCCCCAAAAAACCCTTTTGTAGTCCCCCCAAAAACCCCACTGAAAAAATTAAAACACCACTAAATTACATTCAAAAAACACCAAAAAATTCACCATAAACTAAGATCAAAAAACCCCATCCAAAAACCAAAAACCCCAAAAACCCCCAATTTTTTTTTCTCGTTTTATCAAATTTTTCTTTCAGAAAATTCCCCAAACCCTACCCCCCTTTTTTTTTCTGTTTTAACCTTTTGGGTTAATTAAAGTTAAATAAGGGGACACACTCCATCAAAAAAAACCCCCAACAACCCCCCATTTTAAAAACATTTTTTTTTCGGTATCTTTGTTCGAAAAACAAAAACCAAACCCCCACACCCCAAAAACACCCATAAACCCTTTTCCAAAACATTATTGAGTACCCCCAATTTTAAACCACTGTTTTCTACAAAAAACACCGCTAAATTCAACAAAAAAACCCTTCAAACCTTCAAACCCCCTGAACTTTTCCCCAAAACCCCCTATTTAAAACTCTTTTAAAAAAACCCCTTTTGGGAACTTTTCCCAAATTCAACACTAAAAACACTTCAAAAACCCCCCATTTGAGTATCCCCAATTCACACTGTTTTACTACTAAAACACCGTAAATTAAATAAAAAACCCCTTAAACCCTTTTAAAACACCTGACACACTAAAAAAAACCCCCTTAACCCCCTTTCCCCCAAAAATTTAAAACCTTCAAAGCCTTTGAAACAAATTCAAAACCCCTTTCATAATATTTGAACACATTTTCCAAAACCCCTTTTGAATAACCTAAAACCCCTTCAAATCACCTTAAAAACCCCTTGAACACCCTTGATCACCTTAAAAAAAAAAACAACATTTAAACACACTAAAAAACCCCTTTAAACTTTCCCAAAAAATTTATGAAAAAATTCCCAAAAACCATTTGGAAACCCCAAAATTAACCATGAAACTAAAAACCCCCAATAAATACCCCCAAAACACCCCCAAAACCCCCTAAAAAAGATAACCCCAACCCCAAAACCCCCCCAAAAACCCACAAAAAACCCCACAATTTTTTCTCGTTTTATCTAATTTCATCGGGAAAGTCCAACACCCACCCCCCCATTTTTTTTTTTTTTAAACCCCTTTTAGTTCATTAAAGTTAAAAAGGGGGGCCACACTACACCCAAAAAAAAGTCAAAAAAACAACCCATTAAAAAGGGTCTTTTGGGTATTTTAAAGTTCAAAACCCAAACCCCC